TGGTCTAAGAGGAAAATATCAGTGATCCATCAATAGTATTTTCATTAAATTTTTATTAATTATACAAACATAAAAGATGTCAACTTTTGTCACTTGTAAACCTGAACGATACCGAGATCCAATAGATCTAAATCTAAAATGGAACTTCAAGATTCATGGAGGTAAACGGGTACAAGTCACGATCAATTTTATAAAGGTACAGGTATGAAACACCATGTACCCGCTAAAAATTTGACTCATTGATAGGCCTCCCAACAATACCAACAGAAACACTCATTTCCTAAATTTATTTTTTATTTTGACTTTCAAGCGATTTAAGGAAGATATATTTTATTGATTTTTCCAAATTCTTTTTATGTGATATACAAAAGTAAGAGTTAATCAAAAAATAAAAAAGAAAATGGAAAAATTTCAAGAGACATAAAGAGTAATAGTTGGGGTAAAATTAGTCCTTTCTTAGCATAGATACATCATACTTGGTCCGTCCTGAGTATTTGTCCACTTTTGACTTTTGGAATTGGTCATCTAAGCACTTTGACTTATCAAATTCTCTCAATGTGTAAGCCTAAAAATAGTCATGTGTGATCTTGTTTGATTCGTCTTAACATATAGATTATTAATATATAATTTTTATAATTTTTTAATATACAAATTACAAGATAAATTGGATTAAAGAAGTGCATTGGATGGTATGCAAAAATGAAAGTAGACAAATACTCAGGGACGAAGGGAAGGGAGTACATGTTATGTTAGTTCGTACATTCGTATATAATACAATATTACAATATATATTTCAAATACGTCTTATTGTAGATTTGATACATTCGAAATACATATATGGATATGTTATGTATTATACATTTGATATTTACAAAAAAGCGCTAATACTAAGTGTAAATATTTTTAATAAAAAATACATTTTAAACTTTGAAATTGGATATATTTATACTCGAAAAATTCTAAAAATTCAACCAACACTTGATATATTACTTATTCACTTTTTCATGTTTAGGATCAGTAGTCTTTCAATCTAATTATTATTGTATACTACCATAAAATGTAATCAAAGTAAGAACATATTCTTAAAAATAAACTAATATTTGGACACGAATGAGCATTTGAGATATAAAAAAAAGTATATTATTAGATAATTTGAGTTTTATAAATTGATTAGATGCTCACTAATTTTAAAGTAAGATTCCACTTTCTTTGTAATATAAATATTAACTCATTAAACAATAATTCAAACAATATTAAAATTGAATAAAATAAAATCAACTTTATACCTTTTATTTTTAGAATAAAAAATACAACTACAAACATAGATTTTTAGAAATCAAATCACACAATAAAATCAAATTTGTATTTTTAAACGTGAATAGATATTTGACCTCAATAACTAAATGCAAAAATAGATGACATTTAAAAATTTAAACAAATAGAGAGAATGTTGTTGTCTACTGTTAGATGTGGCAATTGGGTCAATCGGATCAAATATCTTTGAGATAAATGTTAAAATCGGTTCGGATCGGTTTAATTCTAGTTCGGTTTTGTTTCGGTTCTATACACTTATCGGTTTCAGTTTGGTTTCGAGTCGGTTCAGATATAGTGTGGATATAAATCGATTCAGATTGATTTCAGTTTGGATTCAATTTGATATTTTGGTTTCGGATCTAGCTCAATTCGGACATATTTCATTTCGGTTATATTTTGATTGAATATATTTTGAATATATACTATTTTCTAATTAAAATTTAATTATCCATATTTCTTTTTTATCATATTTATCAATCTATCATCAATTTAACACCTCACATTTTATATTTTTTCTAATAATACTATCTCCACCCTAAATATTTTTTTAACTTGTTAGTCATATTTTACAAATTTGGACTACAAATTAATGATATAAATTTAGTATAATTAAATTAATTTTAAAATTTAGTTTTGATATATCACATTTTTATCACATCTACTAATACCTATATGTTCATAAACGTAAAGTTAAAGATAAATTCAAATAGTGTTACGCTTAAATTGAATATAATTTTGTAAAAATTGAGTGAAATTAGGTGAATTTTATTTAATATAAGTCCTAAACATTGATAAAATTGAATGAGATTAATACAATTGAGTGCAAAATTTATAAATTATTTGAGTATATTTGGTTTAAATAAGATAAAATTAAATTCAATGGGGTCTAATATAATTAATTTTACACCTAAATTTAATTGTGTAGACCAATTTTGAAAATGACAATTCTAAACACTGGCACTAGAGAGCTTTTTCAAAATGACAAGACTAACCTCTTATGTTATTGAGAAGTATTGAGTGAATTGATTTGAAACTAGAAATATTTGCACTAAATAGCACTAAAACTTAAGTCATTTCCCTAAATAGCACTTAAACTGTTTTATTCTCTAAATAGCACTTATAATGTCCATAATGTCCAGTGATGGCGAAATTTTGCTTAAATAATGACTAATGCATAATGACTAAAAGTGCTACATTGGGAAAAAAAACATATATAGTGCTATTTAGGAAAAGTCATTATGTTTTAGTGTTATTTAGGTAAATTCCTCTTGAAACTAATTAAATTAACTCTCACACCAACAAAATCTATTGTTTTGCGTCATGTAGCATTCTTTATGAGATGGATGGAGTTTTTTTCAAAATAAAAATAATTTAATTAGATTGTGTAATATAAAACTAAAATTAGTATTGTATTTCTAACATAATATCTAATTAAAGACTTAATTTTTCATGTCTAATCTTCCCTCTAAAGCTCAAAGCTTACCCCATTCTTTTTCACTTTTCCTCCTTAATCTTGTCACTTTTCTGACGCCACCATTCTATCAATTCTTAATTCACACTCACCTTCAACTCTCAGACATAATTTCTTTCTAGTGATGCTTCACCCTTTTTTTCAAATATGTTATTACCTTTAATTTTGTTAATAACAAAATAGTTCGCTCACTTTATTCATCTCATATTTTATATGTATAACTTTTGTTCAATTTCTAAATATAATAAATTTAAGGAATGAGATTTTTTAATTTTTTTAAGATGGGAATAAGCAAATAACGTAATTAGCTTATATGGTAAAATAAAAATAAACATCTGAAAATATAATATGTTTATTGAACGGCAAACATAGTTTCATATTTTATCGATCGGTTGTAGTTCTAACCGGTTTCGGATCTAATTAGCTTCGGGTTTTATCGATTCAGATATGATCGGTTTTGGATCTAATCGGTTTCGAATTTAAATTAGATATGAATTATTTAGTCTGGTTTCAATTCAGCTTGGATCATTTTGGGTTTTCGTTATAGATCAGATCTCCGTTTATGAATCATTTTGTTTTCGGTTAATTCGAGTCGGGAAATCAATTCATGTTCTGTTTTGCCAGGTTTATCTCTAGTTCACTAGAGCAGTTAGAGTGTTGAAATCTCATCCGGATGGAGTCAAAGACACTGGTGATGATTCGAATTGTGATCTAGATTTTAATATTTTTACGATTGACGAGTCACCAAACTGTAAAGATTTATAGTTTGGGACGAACACAATCAAGTAAGTTGATCCAATCTAAAATTTGGCCTTCTAATTCTTTTTATCATTGGAGTCGATATAAGATGATTTTTGCAATTTCATACTTATAAAATTCGTAAACATTAGGATAAAAAATACATTTATTATACATGAGTCAGATGAAAAATTCGTATACAAGAGTATTTTTCACGTATGATATGTACGATTGTATAATGCACGTATAATACGTAAATAAACTAAGAGAGCCATACTCCATAGTCCATACTACTCCATCCGGCTATAATGTGCTTCGTACATTTTACAATATTGTATAATATGATATTTAAAAGAATCATGTTTATTTTACTTCATCACAAAATAAGTATTCTCATTGTGAATTAATTATCTCAAACTTAACTTTAGTACATTCAAAAATATTTGACTCAGTTTTTCTCTAAATAAATTTAGATCACTTATTATTTTTTTAACATTTTTCTTAAATTTTGTTAAAAGACTAACACAATTAATTTGTGACAAAAGAAGTGGATTTTAATTTTTAGTAAAAAATAAAATATTTTTGTCATCACTGATTTAACAAGTTTTTGTTTAATTAATACTCCTTCCGTCCTAAAACTACCTTCTCATTAAAAAAAGATGAAAAATGACATTAATGCCCTCATGTATGTACACCAATCATTTTCTAACTCTATAATTTGAATGATTGCAAAAAAAAATCAAACTTTTTAAAGGAGGATAAAGTGCTGTTTGGGAACAGCGTTAGCGATTAGCGTTAGCGTTTTGAAAAAGCTATCTACGGGCAGCGTTTAGCGTTAACGTTTTCAAAACGATCTGCACCGTTAAAATTTTATCCAAAACACTAACGCTAATATCTAACGCTATTCCCAAACAGGCCCAAAATCTGAAGTCAAAGCTAAAATTAAAAATGAGAAAAAGTTCAACTGAGAAGAACGTTTTAGGAAGGAGTATTAGTTTATTAACGTTTACACGTAATAGTTTATCAATGAAAACATCATACATCATATGCAAAAATTCATTTGATGGCAGGGGTACAAATCCAATAAAAGCAAAAAATATACTCCCTCCGTCCCCAATTTGATTACAAATTGCAGGTTACGGAGTAAAATTTTCTACTTTTTGAAATCATGTTATTTACAAATTGATATATTAATAAAATATAAAAATTACATATTAAAAAACTACGTCAAAAGTTCTACAAAACAAGAGGTGACAAGAATATTTTATTTTATCAAATACTTAATGAAATCACGTAAACAAATAAAAGTTATCGAGAGAAAAGAGAGAAAAAAAATTGCAATCTATTTAGGAACGGGAAATTCATTCATGTTCAAAATCCATAATAAACAAACAGCACCTAAACTGATTCACAATGAGTCTCCAAATCTAGAGCAATCAAGGAAAGAAATATGGAATACTAAACAAATGATGAAAAAGACATTTTGGAGTTTTTCTTAAAAAATTTATTACTCCTAATCTTGTTCATCGCCTCATCGGAGCCTCCTCAGGATTGTAAGCCAGCGGCTGAGCTGTATAATACAAGAGCATGAAAAATCATAAAATGGCCAAAAAAAATCATACTCCGGGGTATTTTTTTTTGAATAAAAAATGATAAAATAAAAAAAGGACTTACCCAGCTCACCTCATTTCACCAGGTCCATCAAAGCTTCGATCACAGCGTCGATGTCCCCATCTCCGCCGCCCCCACCATTCTGGGCACCGCCGCCGCCATTATTCTGGCCCCCGCTTCCGCTGCCATTCTGGCTTTTTCCGCCACCTCCGTTTTGGCCTCCACCGCCTCCGTTCGGAGCTCCGGCTCCGTTTTTCCCGCTTCCGCCACCATTGCCATTTCCTCTGGCTCCGCCGCCGCCTCTGCTGGATCGGATTTCTTGCAGCACCAAGTTTATCTTTTCCTCAATCCGGCGGTTTCCTTCGAGGATCTCAGCCAGCTTTTGAGAATCAGGGGGGGCGATGGTGTATTTCGACTTGAGATTTTGAAATGTTGTCTTGGGCCCCTTTTGATACAAGGAAGAGAGAAAGCCCCCGAAGTGAGCCGCAAAATCGGCGGCTCCGGTGACCACTCCGGCCCTGGTCATTCCATCCCATATCTTAGTCATCTTCTGCTTTGTCTCCTCACCCTCCATAGCTCGCTTAGCTTCTGCTTTTGCTCTCTTCACCGTTTCTCGGATTGCACTGAACCTGAAGAAATGCTTCATGGTATTAATTGTGAAGGAGAGAATGAGAGGATGCAGAAACTGAGAGTGTGAGGATGAAGAAGGAGAGAGTGAGAGGAGAAGAGGATGCAGAAATTGATTTAGAAAATGGACTCTAGAGAAGAACGAGAGAGGAGTGATATTTATGGAGACGCGCGGAACCAGGCCCAGATTCTCAGACGCGCTGAACGAGGCCCAGATTATTTAGAAAATGGCTTTCTCATTTTCTAAAATGGCCCCATGCTACTTGTTATTTAGAAAACGACCTTTGTATTTTTTATCCGCTTGTGGATTGAAAAAATTACTCCAATTCATAAATGTTCATTATGGGCAAGCTTCTCGTGACATTGTAAACTAATGTTATGATGGCATGACCCGATGGTGCTCTGATTCTCCGTTCATAAAATTAACGGTTCCAATTCTCCCGGTAAACCCCCCTACCCTGCCCGACCCGAACATCCACTCACCTCTTTAATTGCAACCCACAAGTTGATTTTAACTTTGGAGTCAAATTTTGATTCCAAAGTCACAATCAACTTGTGGAGTGCAATTGAAAGAGGTAGGGGGTGTGTTCGGGTCAGGGTGGGGGAGTTTACCGCAGGGTTTGGGGGTAGGAACCGTCAATTTTACGAACGGTGCACCAGAGCGCCCCCGAGTCTTCCCATGACATTGATTTCCAATGTCATGGAAACCTTGGTAGCTCTTTATATACATTTTTCATATGTTCAAAATTATTTTTTTGTTTTTTTTCATTAATTATTTTATAATATGATATGCGTAACACATTATGTTTGTCGTTTCATATTGTTTATTGTAAGAAAAAATCGGTTTCATGCTTTTTGACTTTTTGTGATAAAAAGTATCAAAATAGAAGATTCGTGTTTTTATTTGCTAAATAACATTTCACATTGTGGTAATGTGACACTGTAAATAAATATTATATTAAATTTTTTGTAAGGTATATAGTGTGTGTATGTGTGTATCTATGTTTGTGTGTGAGAGATAGTTCACCAAAGTTACAGTAAAAAATAAAATTTACATATCTTAAAACAATAAAAAAATTTAGAAAATCAGAGTTGATTTAAATTCTTCAAATAAGTTAACTCAATATTTAAAAAATACTCAAATGAAATATTTGCATTGATTCATTTTGAAATAATATTAAGTATATGAATGATTTAGAATTTACACCATATCTATAATTATATAGTTTTTAAAGTTTTTAAAAAATAAAAGCTTTTAGAATCTTTATTTTTTAACTACTAAATACAAAAAACATTAAACTGAAGTGTAACAAAAAACAATCTAGTTTAGATGGTTTACAAATTAATTTAATCTCTTTGAGATTGTGTGTTCGAACTCCATCTTTGATACGATTTTTGAAAACAAATTCAAAAAAAAATATCGCAGGGTCTAATCGGCCGGTTTTAACTGATTCACACCAGTTCAAGCGATCTCAATGCATATCACGATCCAGATGACTGGGCCGGACCGACCAAACCACCGGTCCACTGTTTCATGGTCCGATCCGGTTTTTCAATTATGCATCCAAGAAGTTAAAAACTTTATTTTATACTAAAAAAATAAAGGTCCGATCCCTTTTCTTGGAGAGGATACCGTGGACGTTGGACCCAGTGGGCCATGTCTTTTGGATGTTATATGAAATTGAACTTTTAGACTTTTGGGTACACATGCCCATAATATTTCATAAGCATCTCCCCATCATGTTCGGACGTACAATTAGACATCTATGCACTACATTACTTCCCAACATGCATGCTCTATTGATGATTTTGTGTTTTTGAAGTTTATGATATCGGGGTACACATGCCCGTAATGACACGTCAACTTAAAAGTTTGAAATCATTTTATTTACAAATTGGTATATCAATAAGATATAAAAATTACATACGAATTATTAAAAAACCACGTCAAAAGTTCTACAAAACAAAAAGTGACAAGAATATTTTATTTTATCAAATACTTAATGAAATCGCGTAAACAAAAAAAGTTATCGAGAGAAGAGAAGAAAATTGTAATCTATTTAGGGACAGAGGGAGTATCTTATTTTTACCTATCACATCAGTGATAAAATTGGAAAATCAATTAAAATAGACAGAATGTATCCTGGAAATACATTACTATCTACAGAGTCAAACTTTACTTACTTTGTTTGCTCAATTTTACCAGTCATTTCATAAAATAATATAGTCTTGTTACCTCTAGTTTTGTAGAACTTTTCATGTAGTTTATTACTATGTATATTTTATTTTAAAATTTTACTCTTATAATCAATTAAATTGAATTAAAAATAAAGACGATCAAGCCTCGTAACGCGTAATGGGAAGATCATACATGAACGGAGGGAGTATTTTGAATAATATGAGATGAGAAAATTCTTACTAAAAATGAAAGTATCCTAAATTATACCCCCTCCGTCCGGATTTTAAGTTCCCGGTTTGACTTTTGCTCATTTTTATGAGTAGCTGACTTTGTAAGTAATTTGTCCAAAATGTCCCTGCCCTTCAACCGCCCCATTTTCGTCCGCTAGCCCCTGTTGCCCTCACCTCACCACCCCCTTTCTCCTATCATCTTTTCCCCATCCCTCTCGCCACCCCTTTCTCCTATCTTCATTTCCCCCAGCCCACCGCCACCCCTTTCTCCTACCCTGCCGCCAGCCCGCCTCCCCTTTCTCCTATCTTCATTTCCCCAGCCCACCGCCGCTCCTTTTTCCTATCATCTTTTCCCAAGCCCTGCCGCCACCGTTAGCCTCCCCATCGCCATCAGCCCACGGCCATCGCCAGATCTAGTCGCCGTTAATTGGAAGTATCAAGGGAGAGAAAAAACGAGAAAGTGGGGAAAGGAAGAAGAGAAGGGGTATTTTAGGAAGATTGTGTATTAAAACGTATAATGGAAAAAAATATAGAAGGGGTATTTTAGGAAGATTGTGTATAATGAGAAGGGGTATTTTAGGAAGATTGTGTATTATTTTGAAATAATGACTGCCAGATACTTCTAGTTTTTAGAATATATTAAAAGGTGCCTTAAAATATTGAAAAAACTAACTAAAATATTGAAAAAATATAATACTCCCTCCGTCCCAAAAAGAATGTTACGTTTCGTTTTTTGCGCATCCTTTAAAACACTTTTTTATCGTCTCAAATGCCAAAAACAATTTCATCTTATAATAAAGAGTAAATATGGTAAATTTTAGAATTTTTAGATGTGAGTAGCCGTGCTTTTTATGATGCGCAAAAAAATGAAATGTAACATTTTTTTTGGGACGGAGGGAGTACATTTTTTTTCAAACAAATTGATTTCTCAAAAAAAAAATTGTAGCATAAAACTTAAATTTATTAAGCTTGAATCGGATCCTGCGACACATCGATCCAACTACCTGCCAACACACTCTCTTCCTCATCCGACCAAACAAAACTTGTTCTTTTTGTTGGCACCAACTTCGTGTGTTTGGAAGTGGAGCCTTTTTCTTCTTCACAGATTCCGTTTCGGGCTTAGTATATTGGTCGTGCGGAGATTGGGTCTCCGACATGTAATGAGATTGAGTCTCCAGGATGAAGTTCAGATATGCTAAATAAACCTTGAGAGCCACACAAGAAGAAGTTCGGAGATGGAGTCCAAGACTTGGAACTGTTAGAAGTCGGACGATAACAATTATTGAACATATTCTCGGTGTTCAGAATCGGGATTGTTTGGATTCAGTGTGAGTAGAAATATAAAATTTATAAAAATATATTCCCTTCATCCACAAATAAAATTCATATTCACTATTCACAAGGTCAAACTCTATTAACTTTGTTAGCCTATTTTCATCACCCATTTGTTAAAATAATATAGTCATGTCACCTCTAATGTTGTAGATCTCTTGATATAGTTTTTTAATATATAATTTTTATTTTTAAATTTTACACCATTTTTCATAAAAAATGATTTGAAAATAACTTCATTCAAACATCATAACGCGTAAAGAAAAGTTTATTGAAAAAATAATTAGTTTACTCTAAACAAATACTCCCTCCGTTTTTTAAAAGTGTTCCTATTTTGACTTTGTGTAAAAATAAGGAAGTGTTAAATTGTAGTTGACTTCCAATTTTGCCCTTGATGTGATGGGTAAAAGTAAGATGTGATAGATTGAGTATTAGAGAAAAAGTATGATGTGATAGGTAGGGTATGAAAAAGTAAGGGTAAAAGTGGTTTTTTAAAAGAAAGTGGAAGTGTTTTGTTGGAAGTAAAAAAAATGAAAGAGGAAGAGTTTTTGAAAACGGAGGGAGTATTTAAATTTCATGGAGTATTATCTATAAAGATATATTTAAAAAATATATTTAAATTTAATGTTAGAAATAACAAAATGGAGAAGAAAACATTATCTAAAATAATTTCACATTTTATTTATTTACGAAAAATAGACATTTTTTCAAAAAAATCATGGAGTAAGAGCACCCGCAGTGGCGATCCAAAAAGACTCTACGCCGTGCCACATCAGCATATTGAGGCGTGGTGCGTTGCTTTTCCAAGGCGTTCCACCAGATTCTCGTAGCATCTGGGAGCCATTTTTTATGGAGTGATGAGAATTATTTTTTTAGTATTTATTTTTTGTAAAGATTTAGAGAGTAGATATGTAACGGAGAGGGGCGCAGACATGAACGATGGCAAACAAAGAACTGAAAGAAGGCTAACGACTGCAAAATTTTGTGAAACTAGTGGGTGACCCTGGCGAGTGTGCACGGTAATTTGTTTGATTATTTAATGTTTGTTACTTTGTTTTATATAATTAGGATTTCAAATCTATTAATTTCAATTATTTTACGAATAGAAAGCAATGAGAGATTTGAATTAGGTAATTTACCTAAAATAGGACTAAAACATAATGACTTTCTCAATATAAGACCATATATTTCTATTTCTCAATGTATGACCATTGGTCATTATTTATTAGTCATTATTCATTAGGCATTATTCTTCTCACTAGTCATTATTAAGTCTTACTTAGGAAATAAAAAAGTTTAAGTCCTACATTCAGAAATAACTTATATTTTAGTTCTATTTAGTGTAAATTTCACATTTGAATATACAATACTCCATATAAATGAAAAAAAGGATTTTTTTATGTATAATTAAAATAATTTTTAATAATTAAATCATATAAAAGAATATAAAAAATGATAACACTAATTACTTGTCATTGTAGAAATTGACACTCCACTCATGTAACACATGTTGGCTAGACCAATTTTTATTGGTTAAAAGATGTCACGTTGGCATGTGAGATTCCAATCTTGACTCAGCATTGACCATGGTAAATTAAAAGGTGTGGTGTCAACGTGGGATTGTGGGGCTTGCGGGTGGTGTGGCCTTTACCATAATTGTAATGAAAAAAAGGGGCGAAAGGGCAAAACCAAAAAAGTGGAAGAATGACTGCGCAAATAAATGATGGCGAGAGGTGCGTGCTCCCCACATGCACAAAAAAACAGCTGAAATGGATTAACAGGGAGGGGGTGGGGGCCTACGTGGTAGGATCGGACAAAGGCATTTAATGACTCCGTACAATGGTATCCGCCCCGGAATCACCTACTCGTTATTCCAAATTCCAATGGAGCGCTTTTCTAATTTGGATAAAGCTATTTCTACCCCATGTTTTGTACCCCACTTTGATGTATTGTATAAATACTGCATGAAATTATATTTTTATTTTAATACTCCCTCCGTCCGAAAATATTCTTCTCATTTTCCTTTTTGGTTCGTCCAAAAATATTCTTCCCATATCCTTTTTTAGTATACTTTTTAAGGATAAATATCAATAATACCATTCTATTTTATCACAAATCTACTTTTTTAGTACTTTTTTAATAATAAAAGGAGATTTAAAAATTTATAGTATGTGCATTTTTGAAAATTTTGAATTTTTTTACTATTCCTAAATAAGCATGCCAAGTCAACATGGAAAGAATATTTCCAGACGAAGGGAATATTAATTTGAAAATAAAATAAACTTTTAAAAAGATATTGTAAGATTTTATACGTTGTTCAGAACACGCTAGTAGCTTTGGTACTGATAAAGAAATTGTGATGAATGATAATTTTTGAGAAAATAAATTTTAGTATTTTGAATAATTACCAATCGATTCTCAAATCTATAAATATAGCCATTTTGCTAGAATTCTTAATGATCTCTCATCTTAGGTCTTTCAAAAGGCACTTGCAATGTGGTGGGATGCGTCTGGCGCAGCGGTGTGCGCCAGATGCTATGATTGGAGAGGGGCGTGGGGCTGGGGCATAGAGACAACGACAGAGTCCATTGTAGACGGCCGGTGAGTTGGGGAAGAAATTTCATTTTTTAATTTTTTCTTTGAATTCCTTTTTTTTAAAAAATAAACTCAATAAATTCATCACATTTTCACCTCAATTTATAATATCTCATCAATTACTCTAATCTCATTCTCAAATGATCCAAGTAGATATGCCAACTCCACTTGTTTTTACACCAATGTGCAACGAGCATATATGGGTCTGTGATAACTTTACCCCGTCCTCGGACTCCAAAGATACCTGGTACCAACTATCGGGTGTTTAATGGATGACTACAAAATTTTTGAATTGGCATCCATCACTCAAGCTATGAGGAAAGAGAAGGCAAAAAAATAACGACACAACTCTGACAGAAAATTTGACATTGGCAAACTTCTAAGTTGACGTGTCATGTGACCCTAATATCATAAACTTCAAAAAACACAAAATCATCTATAGAGCGTGCAAGTTGCGAAGTAAAACAGTGCATAGATGCCCAATTGCGCGTTTGAACATGATGGGGGAGATGCTTATGAAATACTATGGGCATGTGTACCCAAAAGTCTAAAAGTTCAATTCCATATAACGTCCAAAAGACATGGCCCACTGGGTCCAACGTTCACGACATCCTCTCGAAAGGTGTTAGGAGTAAGGCAGAATTTCTTCGTGTTAAGCTTGGTTTTCGGGGGTTGTTTGTGGTTGATCTTGTTGGTCGGAGCGGGGGTCTTGCTCTATTTTGGAAGGTGGATAACACTGCTAGGCTCATATCTTATTCTCGTTTTCATGTTGATGTGGAAATTCATTTGGGAGGGGGCCCTCCCTGAAGGTTAACAGGTTTTTATGGGAATCCGAGAAGGGACCAACGCCAAGCTTCATGGGATCTATTGCGCTCGCTTAAATCTCATTCGACTTTGCCATGGGTAGTGATTGGTGACTTCAATGACCTTTGTGCCTACAGTGAGAAGAGAGGGGGTACTCCCCAACCCTTGTCTCTGATTGAGGGTTTTAATGCAGCCTTATCTGATTGTGAGCTCTTTGATCTTGGCATGCATGGTTATCCCTTTACATGGGAACGTGGTAGAGGGTCGACGAGTTGGGTTGAAGAGAGGCTTGATAGGGCAGTGGCTTCAGGTGTTTGGAAGGACCTTCATCCTCATGCGTCGGTGTTTAACCATCCTATGAGGCGGTCTGACCATTCTGCTCTTCTTCTGATGACATCAAAGCCCAGCTACCCTGTAAGGCGGGTTCGGCGTTTTATGTTTGAAAATGCATGGCTTCGTGACCCAGGGTATAAGGAAGCGTTAAGATCAGCTTGGGGCTCACCAGGGGAGCTACCGTTTTTGGAGAAATTGTCCCGTTGTGGTCAGCGTCTTCTTGCATGGGGAGGCGACCGTTTTCAACAATTTGGTCGTCGAATTCAGGTTCTCAAAAGGCGAGTGGAGGAGTTACGGGACAGGCATGACGAAGGGGGGGTGCGAGAGTTATGTGAAGCAGACAGAGAGCTTGGTTCTCTCTTAGACCAAGAGGACTCATATTGGAGGCAAAGAGCAAAGCAACACTGGCTTCAGTCGGGCGATGCTAATACTCGGTACTTCCACCAATATGCATCACATCGAAGGAAGAAAAATCATATTTTGAAACTTAAGGATGGGACAGGCATTTGGCGTGAAGGTTTGGATCTATCAGGGGTTGTGTGCCAGTACTATGAGGAGCTTTTTCAATCAAAAGGTGTTGAGGAGTCTGACTTCTTTAGCTCGGTCTCACCTCGGGTTTCAATTTCTCAAAACCATGAGCTTCTTCGGCCCTTTAGTGCTGAGGAGATTAAGGCTGCTCTATTTGCAATGCATCCAGATAAATCCCCAGGTCCAGACGGGATGAATCCTGGCTTTTTCCAAAAGTCCTGGGATTTGGTCGGAGAGGAGGTTTCAACATTTGTGTTGTCTTGTCTGCATCAGGGAAATCTCCCAGAAGGTGTTAACGACACAACATTAGTTTTAATTCCTAAGAAGAGCGCTCCCGAGGTAGTTGCTGATTTGAGACCCATTGCCTTATGCAATATCACCTATAAGATCATGGCCAAGGTTCTTGCTAATTGTTTAAAGCCTCTGTTACAGAAAATCATTTCAGAAACACAGTCAGCTTTCCTCCCCGGGAGGCTTATTTCTGATAATATCTTGCTGGCGGCTGAATTGGGGCACTATCTAAGGAGAAAGCAAGTTGGTCAAACAGGTTGGGTTGGCCTAAAACTTGATATGGCCAAGGCCTATGATCGTATGGAGTGGAATTTCCTCCGACGGATGATGGAGAGTCTGGGCTTTTGCCGAAGGGTGGATTCGACTTATTATGCTCTGCGTCACCACGGTGCGTTACCGAATTCTTATTAATGGTGAACTTTCTGACTATATTATTCCTTCTCGAGGCCTTAGGCAAGGGGATCCCCTTAGCCCTTATCTTTTTATTCTTTGTGCGGAGGGCCCGTCATTGCTTTTACAGGAAGCGGAAAGGAGTGGGTGTATCCATGGAGTTCGAGTGGCCAGAGGAGGCGGGGGAAGTTAAACGTTGCCTTGCTGAATACGAAAGAATTTCGGGTCAGTCTATCAATTTTAGTAAATCCAGTATTTGTTTTAGTCTTAACACCCAGCTGGAAATCAGGGAGATGCTCTCTTCTTTTTTGGGGGTTTCGGAGATGGATAATTTTGGTAACTATCTGGGTCTTCCGTCCTTTTTGGGTAAAGATAAAAATACCGTTTTTGCTTATGTGGTGGATAAAATTCGGGGACGATTTTCAGGTTGGGGAAAGAAATTACTTTCTAGGGCAGGCAAAGAGATCTTGTTAAAAACGGTGGCACAGGCTATGCCTCAATATGCCATGAGCGTTTTTTTGTTACCACAGGGGCTTTGTGAGAAGATTGAACGGCTGATGAATTCCTTTTGGTGGACAAGCAAGGGTTCTAGTTCTACCGGTATTAGGTGGATGTCGTGGAACCGTTTATCTGTGCCAAAGAAATTTGGAGGCATGGGTTTTAAGCAACTTCATAGTTTCAACGTGGCAATGCTGGGGAAGCAAGGGTGGAGGCTTCTTACCCAACCTGATGCGCTCGTTTCTCGTGTGTTCAAAGCAAGGTACTTCCCGAAAACCTCTTTTCTTGAAGCGACTTTGGGGGGTACTCCAAGCTTTTGTTGGCGAAGTATTCTCAAGGCACAACCTTTGATCCGACAAGGCGTGCGTCGTAGGGTGGGGAATGGTAGAAACACTCTTGTGTGGGGGTCCCCCTGGCTCTTGGACTCAGACAACCCAACCATTATGACCGACCAGCAGTTTATGCCTAACTTCCCAGTGAATTTTCTTAAGGATCCAGTTACTGGTGGCTGGAACGAGTCGCTGTTACATTCCTATTTCAATGCTAGAGATGTTATGGAGATCCTGCGTGTGCCTTCATGCCCTTCTCGTGAGGATCTGTGGTTCTGGTCAAGGTCTCCTCATGGACACTACTCTGTTAAAGATGGCTATCGTCTGCTTCAAGGGGAGGTTGTTGCTGAGTCTACTGGTTTCTCAGCCTGGAATAAGCTTTGGCGTATTCCGATAGAAACAAAGGTAAAAGTGGTTATTTGGCGGGCTCTTCGGGGTATTTTACCAACTATCTCTTCTCTCAATTCCAAAGGGATGGAACTGGACAACTTATGCCCAATATGTGGGGAAGAGGGGGAAACTACTGATCACATTTTTGTTTTTTGTTCTTATGCTACGGCTATTTGGGAAGGGGTTGGAGTTCAGGTTTCAAGAGTAGCCGGGGGTTCTTTTATACATTTTTTTGAAGGGCTTATTGGTTCAAGGTCAATGGGAGAGCTTAAAGTTATTGCATATGCAGTTTGGGCTTTGTGGAAGACTCGTAATGCAGCAGTTTGGGATGGAAGGGTTTCGCTGCCGGCAGTAACTATTCGGTTGATTAAGTCATTGGTTGAACGTTGGCCGGACAGCCGTTTGGGGCAGCAATTGACTCCGCCGTCTAGCTCTATTCTAGGGCAGCAAAGTTCAGGGCAGGTGCAACATTGCTTTGTTGATGCCGCTTTGTTTCCTCAGGTCGGAGAGGTAGGATTCGGTGCTGTTCTTCTTGATCCAGGTGGTAGGTTTGTGAAAGCATTTAACGGTACTATTCCGTGTTCCCAAGATCCCCTTCTAGCAGAAGCAATAGCGGTTAGAGAGGCTTTGGCTTGGTTAAAGAGAGAGGCATGCTTGGAGGTGCAGCTTTTTTCTGATAGTTGGATGGTGGTGAATGCCATCAACCACGTCACCGTTTCTCGCTCGTACTTTGGTTCGATTATTGAGGAGTGTAGGCTATTTTTATCTTCTTTCCGTTCAATTTGTATCTCTCATGTTTGTCGAGATTTGAATGGTGTTGCTCATGTGTTAGCCCGTCGAGCGGTTGCTCAACATGGGGTTTGGGAATATGTTCCTCCAGACTTTATTGTTTCTCACTTTAATTAATGTGATTTTTTTTCAAAAAAAAAATATGTAAATTTTATTTTTTTACTATAACTTTGGTCAAATCTTTCACACACACAGACACGGACACACACACACACATATACACACACACACACACACACATATATCTCCTATATTATCTCCTATATTATATAAATGTGAAAGAGGGTTTGGTACCCCTTAATAAGTTGTTCTTTTTCCATCCAAAAAATAGGTACATTATGCTTTAAATCATGTACATTGTTTTTTAATACCAACCTTACCCATACACCGTTAGTTCTCTCCATCCACTTATATTCCCAATAAATGTCATTTAATCCTATAGTCTTAGACTCACACCAATTCTCACAATAAGAAAAATTGCTCTATAAAATTATTCTTTTATTATCTATTTGTGAGATGACTATCCCGAATTGAGCTACTTATAACATCCTCTGTCTGAATTTAATCTTTTTGCTTTGACTTTTTCTCATTTTTAAAAATATTTGAAAGAGAATAATTTTTAATGAATTTGTCCAAAATGCCATTACAAAAAATGTTTAAACATGAAAATTGGACTTATCACAAACACTATTTTCATCCATACTCATTCCAAAAAAAATCTTTTTCACTATATCTAGAAAGGAGCTCAATTGCATGTAATTACTAAGAGCAACTCCAAGTCTCTAACGCATGAGTTATATGCTAAAATATACAAGTTATACATGATTATGTTGTCTTTTTCCTACTCCAATGGGTCATTTATAATTTAGAATGGAAGTTATAAAAGAAGACATGTCATCTATATATAGAGGATGACTAAATCTAAAATGTGATATGTAATGCCTTTTTTCTCCCCGTATATAATTATGAAAAATAATATAATATTTTAATCACATTATTTACATAAATATAAATGTAATATTGATATATGAACAAAGTGTTTGTATTAAAAATTAATTTTAAGTAAAAAATATTATTAAAGTGTAAAAAATAGATGACATAGTTGGAGAGGAGGTGAAAAAGTGGGTTGTTAAAACACTTTTGGGAAGCTAAAATTGCTTTTAGCTTTTGAAATAATGGCTTCTCCCTTGGAGAAGCTCTAATGATACAATCTTTATATTAGAGTGGCATTGTGATAGATAGCCACTAAATAATAAAAAATAGACATATAGAATCATGTGTGAGTAATGATTGCAAATGGAAAAGGGAATGTCACAAATGTAGCTACATAAACCAACTAGATAAAGCTAAAAAATGAAAAAAATTAACAACTAATAGTGATATAGTATTGTGAAAACAAAACTTAATAGAACAAGAAATATGCTTGACATATGATTGAAAAATGGAAAAGACAATGCCAAAAATATAATAGTAACACGCCCAATGACAAAGCTAATTTCGGGCACCACATTTCGTGCAACGCGCGTGCCATTGCTAGTGTGTGTGTGTGTGTGTATATATATATATATATATATATATATTACAAAAAGTATAATAAAATATCTATGTATAGTGCCACATTACCATAATGCGAATCGCTATTTAGCGAATAAAAACATGAAGCTTCTATTTTGATATATTTTCCCACAAAAAACATGAAACCGATTTTTTCCCACAAAAAACAATATGAAACGACAAAAATAATATGTTATGTGTATCATATTATAAAATAATTAATGAAAATAATAAAAACAAAGAATAAATTTTGATCATACGAAAAACGTACATAAATAACATTTACAAAGTGGAGCAATATGATAGCACCACCGCATTCTCCCCACTCCCAGCAACAAAAAAGTTATAAGGATTGTGAGAAATGGTGAAAAATTGAAGGGATGAAGGTTATCTTTATATAGGGAAGGAATGGAGGAAGAGACCAACTCTGCTGATGATAGTTTCCCTATTTCGGCAGCTGAGTTGAACAGGCTGTTGTCTTCTCCGATTCTAAATGTAAGTCTTTGATTAGGATTAAATTGGTCCTAGTTAGGGAATACTTTTTTGTCCAACTTCCTCCAAATTGAAATCAGATTTAACCGTTGGAATCAGATAGTTAAACTCTACATAACGATATAATTTTCATTATTTATTGACAAACTTTATAAATCACATATTTTTAGGTCCTTCACAGTAACTAATTAATTATTAATTAATTATTTCTAATAGGCCTATTCTCGGGGCATTACATCCGGCCTGCCCTCCGGGGTTGCCTCTTGTGTTCACGGTTATTTTTGGTCAACTCTAATTCCAAGCGTTTCCTGATAGTTTCTCTTTCCTCTTCAATCTCCTTAAGAGTACAGAGCTCCTAAAGGAATGGGTTGATCACCTCTCCCGCCATATAGGGGATCAACTTTGGCTGCTCCGATGCATCTTTGGGAACCTTCAAGGGTATGGGAAGGGCATGCTCCACCCTATCCATAACATTTACCATCATGTTAGCAACATTATTCAGGGCCGCTTCAATCCCATTGGACTGAGCAGTGTTGTGTAGTTCAGGAACTCTCGTCGTAGCATAGGACCTGTGGGAGTTTGTGACATTACGCCTAGAGTTCCTTGTTCTTAGTCCGGCCATACTCTCACAATATCAATCTCACAGTAATCTTTCAATGAAAGTACTAATGATGAGATTTAGCCCAACAACTATGATATGCGATGAACAAAAGAATGATAATGAATAGTATGGAAGGAAATAATAAATCTTGTATATCTGATCTGTATTAACTATATTCCGCTTGGTTTACAATGGATGGTTTACCCCTTATTTATAGTCTACTTTTACTGTACACAGGGAATGTAATATTTTGTGCGCTACGCTATCAACAATTCGTCAATCTTGCGTCAATTATGGCGGGGAATCAGTCATCAACACCTATCAATTCCACAATTAGAGGAATCCCCTCTAATTTGGGTATTGGGTTAGACCCGATTTCCGAGTCCACCTCTGGACCTCGCCTTTAAGTCTGCAATCGGACTAGTATAATTGTTGGGCCGTGGAATTGCAATTGGGTTGTCCTTGTCTGATTACTCGGTCAGATATCCATCATCAGCTCAATAGTATTTATTTTTCAGTTTTTGTAGTTTTACTTTTAAACATGTTAAATTTCTCCTTCTATTAATATAGTACGTAGTATTTCATAATTTTAATGTTGTATTTGTTTATTTTAGTCGATTAATGATGTGTCAAGAGTTGGGGCGGGACGAGAATTGCCCACATTGAAATGGCCTTATGTGTGTAATTAGAGTCTCTTTTTTTGGGTTTGAATTTTAAAATTGATGTTTGAATTATAAAATATTTAAAAGAGTTAGAAAATGTTTAAGAAATGGAATGTGTTGGAAAAGATACTTTTTCGTTCTTTACTCTTTGTGTAGTTTTGATTTTTCAGTAAAAAATGGACAAATTTTAACCCCATATTAAATAAAAGTGATACTACGTATTTAGTTTTGATACAAAAATAATTTTATTTTATAAAATATTTTCAAAATATTATTTTATCTAATTAATATACAATACATATTTTATATAGCTACAGATCAAAGGTTAAAGATGGTTGATGGTAAAAAAGTTAAACCCGACTAATACTTAGACACAGAGATATTACACTATTGACATCTTCAAAATTTACAAATTTCACTTTCCCCCTAAATTCTTTTAGTATGTTTATTTGCACCTTTATATCAGAGTATTTGTCCATTTTTGACCTTTTTGAAATCAATTATTTTTAACAATTGATCTATAATTTAATAAAATAAATAAGGTATATATTAGTATTTTGAAAATAACATATACGTAACATGAATCTAATAAAATTGTTTTTGTTTCAATATTTAATAAGAGTATCATTTTTATTTAATATGAGGTCAAAGTTTTTAATTTTGGTTGAAAAAGATAAAAGTCAACAAATAATTAAGGATAGAGAAAGTATTATTTATTTGTTTTAATTATTTGCAAGTGATCTCTTTTAAGCAATTGACCAAAAAATTTGTGTACGAATATTAGTGTGAGTAGTAAAATATTTTAATTATTTGATTGTTTTTATTAGATTTGTTTTGGGCAAATGAGAGGGGATACATGGGATGGAGGGAGCATTTGCCAAAAAGAGCTTAAGTTGAGGGCCTGACAGCAAAATCTCTTAAGGGGAGGGTCCAATGCGAAAAGTTTATCGGGAGGAGGAGCCACTATATTCGTCGTCTTGCCCTCTCTTTCCCGTCCACAGTCCAGAGCTTCCCCTCGATCTCCATTTTCTCTCTGAAACTATTTCTCTCATTTTTTCTCTGAAACTATCTTCTTTCAGACACACACTCTTCGTGAAAATGAAAAAGTGGTACACCTTCAGTGCTGTGAGAGAGATGGCCGAGCTTTGGGCTAAGGACGCCGGCGGAAAAGGACAGAACTTCCGGCGAAAGTTGTGGGGAACACTCTCAAAGGCCGGGTTGATCGCTGGAACGGCTGAGAGCATGGACCAGATCGGCGGCGCGGTTGCTTCATCTACTAAGCACGGCTTCCGTAAGACGGTTGAGAGCATTCGTTCGCGATATGAGGCACATCCCTCAACCGCGGAGATGTTGGCGCGCATCGATGCAAATGTGCTGAAGCTGTTGGAGTACTACAAAAGCATGGAAAGACATTCGAAAGAGGATGGGCGTCAGGGCGGCGGCGGCGGCGGGAGCCTTCCGATCAAAGGCGGCGGCAGCAGGGGAGGTGCTGAAGAGGAGAAGAAGAATGGAGAAAAGGGCTCCGGGGGAGGGCCTGATGAGAAGAAGAAGAATGGAGACAATGGAAAAAATGGCGGCGGTGGAGGAAACGGCGGCGGCGGCGCCAAGGAGCCCAGCAATGGTCACAATGGTGCGGAAAATGGGGGGTCTGATGTTCCCCCGCCGTTCCCCTTCGATATGGACCTCTACTGAGTAGTCAAGGTGAGCCGTCCCATTTTTGTTTTGTTTTCACTGCCGTATTTCATTGATTTATTTATTTATTGTGTGGATTTTTGTTTTGTTTTCACTACCGTATTTCATTGATTTATTTATTTATTGTGTGGATTTTTGTTTTGTTTTCACTGCCGTATTTCATTGATTTATTTATTTATTGTGTGGATTTTTGTTTTGTTTTCATTGCTGTATTTCATTTATTTATTTATTTATTGTATTTTTATTATTAATTCTGAATTTGTATGGATGCAGAGCCGCAGGAATAAATGCAGATATCGATTGTGGGAATGAAGAAGAATAATTTTGGCTTTTTTGTTTCATTTCCTCGGATCTGTTTTTTTTTAAAAGCTTTGGCAGGAGTTGTTTGAATGAATGAATGAATGAAAAGGAACTATGGCATGTCATTTCCTGCAATAACATTTAATTTCAATGTTGTTTTGTTGTTCTTTTGACATGGAACTGGTGTCCAGAATCATCTATGGATTGGTTATTCATATTGTTTCCAATGTGTGATTATATTTACCCGGCCTAATATGGATTGATTGATTCATTTAATTCCCTCCCTCCCTCTTTTTGGTCCGACTTCCCGTCCATAAGGAATTATTTGATCCAGTATTTGCAGCTTGAGATCTGAATCACTCACGTCATTTTCCCTTTCTTTCTTTCCTTTTTTTTGGGTTAACTGCTTTGACATTACAAACTGATTATTAAAGAATTTTTATTTTTATTCAAATAATTTGTTTCAAACTTTCAATGATTATGTATGTGTCACATTCATAGTTTTAAAAACTGAACTGGGAACCGGCGAGTCGGATGCCAAACACGCCCTTCAGACCGCCATTAGCACCGAACTTCCGGTAATCAGATAAAACTCGCAAAACCCGACCGCCATGGTCACATGACACTTTCTATCCGACTCAATAGAACCACCCGGCCCAGATTTAATGGATAAAAAAGCATCTTTTGTCGCCCAAGTAGATTCACCGGGTCAAATGCAGGTTAAGATTTTTCCTACCCGTCGCTCAAATCATCGCCCTACTCATTCATATTTACTAAATACTCCGTAATAAAGACTAAAGACCAAATTGCTCCCGTAGCCCTTGCGGATAATTTGTGTTTCAAATTAAAAATTAAAAATTTTCAATTTTTTTCTAACATTAAAAATATGGGAAGATCAAAAAAGGAAATCTAGATTGAAAATTAAAAAAATTGAAATACGAACAAACAAAATGAAAAATTTGAAATATGCAAAAAAAACTCTTATACATAATATAATTTTTGAAACATTTGAAAAAATCCTCACGATATGGATGTACAAGAAAAGATATTTATTTTAATTTTTATTTTATTTTATTTTCTATTATATTCCTTTGTTTCTGAAGTTCCAAAAAAATACTTTTAATTTTGAATTTGCAATTTATGTTATTTATAATTTATTTCCAACAAAAATTATCAAATTTTGAGAACATGATAAATACAACTTTGAAATAATTAAAAACCCTTCATGGATGTATCGCATGACTCAATAGAACCACCCGGCCCAGATTTAATGGATAAAAAAAACATCTTTTGTCGCCCAAGTAGATTGACCGGGTCGGATGCAGGTTAAGATTTTTCCTACCCGTCGCTCAAATCATCGCCCAACTCATTCATATTTACTTTAATAATAAAGAGTAAATACCAAATTGCTCCCGTACCCCTTACGGATTGGACAATAAGTTTCAATTCTCTATCTATTTTCAACACTTATTTCTAAAACACCATAATTTTTGACAAAGAGTATTTGTGTCTATTTTTCAAACCACAAGGGCAATAGAGCTTTTTTTTTGTTTCAGTTTTTCTCCTTTTCATAATTCTTTTTTTTCCATCTCTTTGTTTCCTTTTCTAAGATTTTTTTATTTCCATTCTAATTCTTTTGTAATGTTTTAAAAAATTAAAAATTTTGTGTTTCATATTAAAAATAAAAAAAGACACATAGTCCATCTATCTTAAATAAAACGTTTTCATTTTTTTGTTTTCTTAAATTATAAAATAGGAAGTTCAAAAAAGAAAATCTACATTGAAAATTTAAAAATAGAAATTTGAAAAAATGAAAAATTTGAAAGATACAAAAAGAACTCTTATACAAAATATGATTTTTGGAACATTTGATATAGTCCTCACGCTATGGATTTACAAGAAATGATATACATTTTGATTTTTTCTTTTATTTTATTTTCTATTATATTCCTTTGTTTCTAAAATCCCAAAAAAATTACTTTTAATTTTGAAATTGATGGCTATAAACCACCGAAAACAATCTAATTGTATAAAGTTTAGAGAGAGTGTGTGTGCAAAGTTGGAGTATATTCACTTAGATTTCGGATCCTTTACAATGAGGGGTCTCTCCCCTTTTATAGGGTACACAATACAATTAGTCAAACACTCGATCTGATCGATGTTCGTCGCTTAGTGGACGTCACGTGACCCTCATGGTCTTGTCCCTTTCATCCCACCGCTATTGCCTGGTCCATATCGCAGAGCCGGTCGCTATCCTCCGGTCGCAGTCACGCGGTCCGAGCCGAGCTTGAGCGCCGAGCTTGGAGGCTGAGCTTAAGAGCCGAGCTCGTGGCTATTCTTGTGGACGCGGGGCCCAGCCGACGTCAGCCCCAGGCTGACCTGGGGTTATCATCCATCAGAAGCCCTCCACTCTCCGGGTTCCTTGGCAACGGGCAATGGGACGCGCGAGAGTAGAGACATTGTGGACAGGCGACGCGCGGGTCCACATGCGACGGCGTCGGACAGGTAGCGACGTTTGGGATCCCCAAGTGAGGGGTTGTGACGTTTCGTCTCCCGAGGCCAAGTGGCGGCCCATCATTATATCTGTTCGATCCATCCCTTTCCATCTTCTTCCCACTATTATAAATATCGACCTAACACCTTTCACCTCTCACTTTTAGAGAGAGAAAGTAGTCGTTCCTTTTACCGTCGAATTTGCTTCTACACCTCCGTCGTCGCTCTGTCGCTACCTTTGCTCTCCAGCTCCTTCAACCCTTTATGTTAGTTTCCTCACCTGCGTTCTGCAATGTCTTCACAGTCCTCGGCCGCGCGTCAGTCCGCGTCCGAGCATGACAGCCAGGGCTCTGCCCGAGACTTCGCCCAAGGGAGTGAATCCAGCTCGCCCTCTCTCGAGGAGATTGTGGCTGTCGAGCTCTCAAACCAGCCCGAGCCCCGCCATAAGAGGCGAACGGCTCTAGAGGACTCGAGCATCCGTGCATAAAAGTGCACCCTGAAAGGGGATGAGTTTCGCAAGGCAAAGCGCCTCGCCTTGTGCCCCGGCGTCACTGTGCGTCGCCCCACTCTTTAGGACTCTGTCTTCGGCGCCCCTTTGGGCTTCTTTGTAATCCACCTTGGTGGTCCCAAAGTGGTGAGATACAAAGTCTAGAGGGGGGGGGGGGGGTGAATAGACTTTGTTACAACTTAAAAACTTTTTCGTTTCTTTTGAAAACGTGAAAATGAGTGTTTATTCTAGAGTTCTTGTGAACCTTAGATTGTGTGCGGAAGTTGGTGGGTAATTGAGCAGTAATCAATATGGATGAGTTAGTTTTCACAGTTAATATAATTGCAAGTATGAGTAAAGATAGAAGAGAGAGACATGCAAACTTTAACGAGGTTCGAAGGTGGGGTAATCCTTCTACGTCCTCAAAATCCACTATGTAGTTGGTTGTTGAATAATGAACCAACAATTACACTCGTGTGAATTTCTGCACGGTATATCTTCGCAAGGCCAAAATTGCTACTGCACTCGTGCTGGCTTTGTTGTTCCTTCGAAGGTCAAGCTTCTTCAACAACTGCAAGATCCGAACAATAGGACTTGCAAGATCAACTTGTAAGAAAGTTGATGCACCCCGTTTTAATCAAAGAGTTTGATTAAAAGTTGTATACTTCAACGTGGTGTGGTACTTGAGGCAAGAAAATCTTCAAGTGTTTACACTATAGCTCTTTGGAAGGAGGATAAGTTTGCTTCTGGATAAGGAGTTTAGAAATCTCTCTTTATCAAGCTTTTTGGCTAACTGTGAAAGAGGTAGCTTTGTAGTTTGAGATTGCTTCGTTGTGTTCTACTTCTTCCAGTCTTCCAAGGATGCTATTTATAGCTGGATTGGGTAATCTATCTGTTGAATCAAAATAGACTATCCGTTGCATTTGCTGGCTTAAATTTTGAAAGAAGATTGTGATTGAGGATTCCTCATTGGAATGGGTGTTTGGACATACCCAATTGTTTGAGGAGGGATTCCTTTTTCCACAGAATCCGTCTTCTAGCTGTTGTTCAAGAACTCTGGACTGTAGCTCTTTACTCTGTTTGTCTTCTAGTGCTTGTTTAGGAATTCTGGACGAGCTCTTTAATTTGAGGGGTCCAGGCTTTGTCTTCAAGTCATTTGTTCTTGAATCAGCTTAATTATCTTCAATTTAGCCGTTGAAAATCAAGAGGTTGATTTTTCCTTACCAACGGGTAGAATTTCTTCATTCAAGACTTAGAATTTTTCTAAGTCCTTTTCTCACTTGTCTGCTTGCTTGTATAGTTTTCCACCTTCAAATGTGTACCCCGGTGCTCTAGTCCGAACCAGCTTGGCCTTCGTCGCATCATCCGGGAGGACGCCATCTTCAAGAAATGCAACTATGTCGTCCGTCCAATCCCTTGGCTGAGCGCAGATCATTGCTACAGGGAATGCATGGATACTCGACTCGGCCAGTTCCTCCACGTTCGCCATTCGCCTGATATGCTTAGGTGTTTCGGAGCTCAGCTTCGACAAAATGTCTGCCTCAGCGTTCTCCGCCCGAGGGATCTGTTCCATAGTGTAAGCAATGAAACTCTTCAGCAACTCCACGATGGCATCCCTATACTTCTTCATTCTTTCATCTTTCGCCTCGAATTCTCTAGAGACATGGCCAACCACCAATTTCGAATCGCACTTTACCCTTAACTTCGTCGCGTTCATCCCGGCTGCTAGGCGTAATCCACACAAGAGTGCCTCATACCCTGCCTCATTGTTCGACACCTTGAAGCAAAACTGGATTGAGTAATACGCTCTGAAGCATTCGAGAGCGATGACCACCACTCCATCCCCCAAGTTTTTGGTTGCGGAGGAGCCGTCGGTAAAAACTGTCCACCAATCATCAGTTTCGGGCATATCATGGCTTGGTTCATCCCGAGCGGCACACTCCACCATGAAGTCCGCCAGCGCTTGCCCTTTGATCGCCGGTCTTGGCTTGAACTCGATTTGGAAGGCCCCGAGGAACACCGCCTACTTGGACATACGAGAGGGTGCGTTCAGGCTCCTTAGCAGCGCGCCTATGGGTTGCTTGGGATAGTACTTGGACCAGGTGGGCTTGGAAGTAGGGCGTCAGCCGCTGCACGGTGGTAACCACAACCAAAACCGTCTTTTCGACTACAGAATACGTGATCTCGGGTCCCCTCAGTGTCTTCGTCGGGTAGTACACCGGGTGCTGGGGTCCACCCTATTCTCGCATGAGGACCGAGCTCAATGCCTTAAGCGACACCCCCAATCCTGATCTAATGGTACCCGCTGAAGGCATCCATGAAACTCACGAGCTCGTATCCCGCCGTCTCGTCCACCAGCAGATCGATGTTTGGGAGTGGGAACGGGTCCATGGGACATGCCTCGTTCATGTCAGTATAATCCACGCATATCTTCCAGGTTGTTTCCTTCGGCGCCAACACCACATTGGCTATCCATGTTTTTTCCTATCTGGTATTTAAATGTTGATTCTGGCCATCCCATATGTACCATAAATACGTAGTACAAGAGAATGAATAGAAAATCTTCCATTCGGCAAACTTGAACGGGTCATTTATTTATGCAATTTAATTATTAAGAATTAATACCATTTTTATTTACAAAAATTTGATGAACTTCAACAAAGTTTCTTTCTTGTACAAAAAAAATAAAAATGAAAAGATGAAAAAATGGAGAAAATTTGCCTTGCACATGGATTGCAAGGCAGGGTGAAAAACTCTTTGCCACACCACGTTTTTGGAGGAGTGCGGCTGAGTGATACACTCATCTTCCTTGTTGATAGGACTGTTAATCGGTCCAAGACCGGACAAAACTTAAAATTTAATTATGACTGAATGGAATATTAATATAAAATTTAAGATATTAATAACAATAATTATGACCGAATGAACCGCTCCCTCTTTCCGCGCGTGCGAAACAAACAATAGTAAGTTTCAACTAATAATATATGGAGTGCAAAAAAAATAACACATGTGTGACACCCAAGATTAAACCACAATATAAAAGGAAATACAAAAAAATGCAATAAGTTTTAAAACATTAAAAATATATGCATAAAAAATACATGGAATATAAGAATTTAGAGTTTTTAAAAACTTATTGAAAGTCGGGTACATGTCGGGTCAGTTCGAGTACAGGTCGGGTCGGTCAAATATACTAACCCAAAACCAACCCAACATAAGTCAGGTTCGGTTTAAATTCTTTCGGGTTGGTTTCAGATATCTATTTTTTGATTCAGATTCAGATATTATAAGCTCCGGTCTGATCTGTAAATGTCTATTTGGATAGAATTGTCATCCCTACCATATACTCCCTCCGTCCCCCTGTATTTGTCCACTTTCATTTTTGCACACCATCCAATGCACTTCTTTAATCCATTTTATCTTGTAATTTGTATATTAAAAAATTATAAAAATTATATATTAATAATCTATATGTTAAGACAAATCAAACAAGATCACACATGACTATATTTAGGCTTACACATTGAGAGAATTTGATGAGTCAAAGTACTTAGATGAACAGTTTCAAAAGTCAAATGTGGACAAATACACGGGGGCGGAGGTAGAGGGAGGGATAAATACCATAAATACGTAGTACTCCNTGATTCAGATTCAGATATTATAAGCTCCGGTCTGATCTGTAAATGTCTATTTGGATAGAATTGTCATCCCTACCATATACTCCCTCCGTCCCCCTGTATTTGTCCACTTTCATTTTTGCACACCATCCAATGCACTTCTTTAATCCATTTTATCTTGTAATTTGTATATTAAAAAATTATAAAAATTATATATTAATAATCTATATGTTAAGACAAATCAAACAAGATCACACATGACTATATTTAGGCTTACACATTGAGAGAATTTGATGAGTCAAAGTACTTAGATGAACAGTTTCAAAAGTCAAATGTGGACAAATACACGGGGGCGGAGGTAGAGGGAGGGATAAATACCATAAATACGTAGTACTCCTTACAAGAGAATGAATAGAAAATCTTCCATCCGGCAAACTTGAACGGGTCATTTGTTTAGCAAACATGGGTCGCAGGGGCTTCTCAGGCGGTGGCAGAGGAGGAGGAGGAGGAGGAGGAGGTAAGGAATCGAGAGAAAAGTTTTCAGGAAAACAAATGATTTGCATTCCAACCCATCCCAGATTTACAACCCTAATTGATTTTACTATGCTAGAGTTTTCATAGCCATCGCCATTCGATTTTATACTCTTATTTTGTGTTATTCAATCCTCTTACTTTTCTCTTTAAACCGCAGGACGTCCTGCCTGCCGTTCAAAGGCATCTCGCGACGCAGAAGGTAAGCCAAAATTTCTTTTTTTTTGCTGTTTATCTGAATTACTTGCTTTCTCCTTTGAAACTTATGTTAATTACTATACTCTGCATTATTATCTCCGTATTATTTTATTATTATACTGCTCTTTTAGGAAGATGTGAACTTACAACAATGAAATACAGTCAAAGGGGGCATGAAAGATGTTTGAATCTAGTGTTAAGAGGCTCTTAAGCCGAAATTCATACTGCTTACTCATATAGTGGAAACAAGTTAATTCCTTGCTAAAAGCAGTGGAAATCAATTTCAGGGGTTAACGAATTAGTGGTTATAAAAGCTTACATCACTGATCTAATCTCTGATTTAATATGTAAGATTTATGAAATGCAACTGTATCAAGCATCTAAAAATTTATAATTAAAAGTTATGCACATATCATTTAAATGTGTGAACAGCCATATACGTAGCATGCCTCTTACCGTGATTTTCATAATCACAGCATCCAAATTTGTGAACATCTAAATACAAACTTCAAAACCAGAGTTCACCTTAACATTTTTAAATTGTAGTTTAACTGTGAATGTGACCGATAATTAATCAAAAGCAGTAGTAGTCTGTAGATGGCTCTTGTGCTTAATAGTACACACGGATTAGTAATTACAGATTGAAATCTGCACAGAGAAGAATAGTGATTTCTGTGCAGACTATTAGCTTGAATAGAAGAACTCTTGGAATGGATGGAAGAACCCAAAGGAAGAAACAGACAGAACTTGTTTCTCTTCTTGGTTCATGTATTGGGATGAAACTCTTTGTTTAATGATTTTTTCTCATTTATTGCTTCCACTATCTTTTGGAGTACAAAAGGTATTCTGTTCTTTCTCCTTCATCATGTGTTCTTTCATTCCCTGAATAGGTAATATTTTAATACAACGAGCTGCTGCTAGCAATGGATTCAGGTCTGCTTTGGATCGGATCTGGTATGGGCCTGACAATAGTCATGAAGACTTATGCAAATCACTTTTGCAGAACTTTGAAATGGTAAATACTTCTTTAACCAGAGTAACATTTTTTTTTGGGTATTTTACCTGCAACGTGGATTACTTGACTTTTTTGGTATTTTAACTCCACAGAAAAGTTAGAAATATTTACTGTTTTGCTTACATTAATAATAATAGATACGCCCTTTAAGTGCCAACCACGTACTTATCATTATTCCCTCCGTTTTGATTGACTGACCCCTTTACAGTTTATGATGTTTGACTGACCCCTTTACAAGAGGTGGCTTGGCTATGTTATTATGTTACAAATGGTTGATGAAAAATTGAAAATATGTGAGGAAGCTAAGGAAATAAGGTTTTGACTGATCTGCTAAAAATGAACAGGACCAGACTGGTAAAACAAAATGGAGTGTGTGATTTCAAAGAAACTTTGGGTATATGTACTACCTCTATGTTTTAGGGAGTAATTGCTTTTCTGAAAAGCTAGACAATTCAGTAGAAAACATGTTTGCAACAATAAAAACATTATCCTAGTGCCTTAGCGGTTGTTTCCCGGTGACCCATAATGAACGTGTTGCATTGACTAATTGTTATATCACTATTAAAAGAAGCACAAATAGTTCAATGAGCCATTTTGCTTTCTTTCATCATAACCCAAATGTACGGGTACCCTTCCACCGGACATGCATTAAGCCACAGTAATCCAATTCTTCCCCAAACCCCCGAAGGACACTCTCCGGGTGCGGAGTTGACCCCTGCTTCTCTAGCTGAAAGGCAAGATCGTTAAGTCCCCTTTGGCCACCCAGGGAAGAGGGCGTGAGTACCAAGGAACCTAAGGAGATCCCATGAATCCCCTCGACCCCTCATCTGCTACGCTCTTGAAAGCCATAGAAGCAAGTCATTCCCTATGGCCGATGACCCGGAATACTAACTACAACACCGAAATGATTCTTTGAGAAACTCAAAAGGCTAGCCGTGTTGTTTCTCTTCCAGAAGAAAGCTAGGCCCCTATGCAAATGTAAAACAACCCCTCATAGTCGATCTTTACCCTCAACCGCGCTGCATGTCCTCTGCCCACTTCAGTTTCCATTAAAGAAAACTAAAAAATAAAATCTGGCTTCTTACTAGACACAAGGTCAACAACTTCACAAACTGTGCGTGGATTGCCTAAGCCCCGACAGTTCCAGCTTAAAGTACTCATTGGGACGTACAGGTCTGGGAACCAAGTTTTTTGAAAGGTCAGTCATTGCCACATGCCCACATCACTCCCAATCGCAGTGTCCTCACTCTCCCTACGCCTTTTAGCCATAGCAATCATTCCGAGCTCACAAACCAGGCCCCTTGCCGAATCTCCTTCATTCCTCCGACATTCCAGGCCATCTTCCATCCGTGGAGCACCCCCTGGAGGCACCAACCAATACTGCCCAACTGCCTTAGGACCACGGTTCAGACTTTCTTGAAACTTTCCCCATACGGATATTGCTCCACCGGAATCTCTGCATTCCAAGCCCTTAAGCAAAACTTGTGAGTGTCCCAAAAAAGCACAGAAAGAACATAAAGTGTGAAGCTGTTCATACATGGAGTTTAGCCATGACTAAAAGGGATTACACTTTATCAGCTTCATACCCCGTTTTAAGGGTTTAGCCAATGGGATTGATACACGAATCTGGTAGAAAGTGCGCCATGGCTCCCCTATCTGCCGATCATCACTCTTCATGAACGGTCCAATAGATTACCTATCTGTTCCAGTATATCCGTGGCATACCCCAGTGCTAAGTCATACAACTGCACCCACATGTCTACCTATCCCGGACCACCGAACTCGGAAGTTCACCCACACGAACCTGCTTGCAGACAAGAGTACTGTTTTCAAACAACCAAGTGCCCTCCTCTAGTACTGTGTTATGTCTGTTAGGAACTTTCCAATCAACATCCAAGTGTCGGATCGCACCTTCGCCCTCGTGAACTTCCACCCCAACTGGCATGAGCCCAACTTCATCCTCAATCTTGATCTCACCATAGCAGGATTCCAATTTTTCAATCGCTGCACCAGAGGTTCTCGAACCCATTAAAGTTAAGAGACTGGCTTGAAATTCCCACCAATCAACGTCACCGATCGAAACCAAATTCAGAAGAGTTGGAAGAGGTAAAGAAACCTCAAACGGTATTAGGAAGAGAATTGCATCCAAATTTGTGTATATTTTGTTTGCAGTAATGCTGTAATGTTTTAGTACTATCATCAGATAGTACTAAAATTGAGTAATTTGCATGAGTAGAGTTTGATGGACACTGTTCATCTGGTGAATTTCTATTATTAAGCAAATTGTCCCTTGTAGATTGGTTCTTTTAATTTAATTTGATTTATTTTCTTCGGTTACTGGCTTACTGCTCCTTGTGAAGAAGCAAAGTGAAATGTGCCATAGCTTTTATGCTAAGGATCTCATTTTTTGGGGTATAATTGCAGTGTGTAGCTATTGAAGAAGTAGACAGAGATAGTAGATGGTGCCAGGACGAGAAGAGAGCGCTGGAAGAGCATTGTGGTATGGGATTTAAATTCTTTGTGTTTCAATTCACTCCATTTTCTATTTTTGCTTGATTTGATATGCATATGGTAAGTAAGGTTGCTAGGAGTGGTTGCTCTTGTATTTGAAAATGCATGCAATTAAAAGTCATTAAATAAGTTGTTTTGTTGATGAGATGCATTCTTTCGTACGTCCCCCCTTTTGTTGCTACCATTTTGTCAATGGAAGGGTATACTCTTTTTTGCTTCCAGTGTTAATTTTGGTTGTGCGTTTTTCTGACAGATGAGTTTAGGTCTTCTTGGAATGATTGGTGGGCAAAAGAGAAGAAAAGAAAGTGCGATATAATGTTATTAGGTTTTGGATGGGTACGGTTATTCTGACTTAATTTAGATAAAGTTGATTAATTATACTTGGCACAGTAGAGGATTTATTTAAGAAAGCTGGAAAGCCAACCCAGATCATTTTTCTTAAGCAAACTTTCTTTTGTAAAAATTTGCAGTGTTTGGATAGGCACGGCAAGGAGTCAAAGCAATGCCAATTTGAAGCTGAGGAGCTTAAAAAGTTCTGTGATATAGAAGTTTAATGACAAGCTGTTTTCAACATACTTTATTGATGATGATCCTAATTAGTTACGGAGTACTACCTATATAACACTCCCTTCGTCCAATTCACATGATGTTGTTAAAGAGGTTGGATTGAAATTATTTTCAATTTAATTTATTTGCAAAATGGAAGAGATATATTTTAAAATTATATCAAAAGTTCTACAAAACAATAGATGATAAGAATATATTCCGTATTATTTTCTCATATAGGTAGCGAAAATAGGTAAAGAGCGTGTTTAAAGTTTGTTCATACGAATAGCAAACGGATAATTTAAATTGGGACGCTGCGATTGTAAGGGAAGTGGTTTATGTGACTACGGAGTATGATTTTTTAAAATGGTCGCTTAGATCATTACTTGTCATTTCTCTTCTATTCATCCACATGCCATCACTTTTCAATGCCACTTCCTTTTCTCTATTCTAGGCCTCATAATTTTTTCTCATTTTTTGTATTAACTTTTTTATTCTTCTATTTTCAACTTTATGTTATTCAATTTCATCCTAAATTATTTTAATTTATTTTAGATTTAAACATTTTTTCTATTTTTTTTTATATTTTTAATAAATGACTATATAAATAAATTTTTTAATGCATAGTATAATCTAGTATAATCTAATTTTTAGTAAAATTGGAAATTTACCTCTTCGATCATCGAAGTCTTACCGGGCCTTCTCCTGCTCCTCCAGGTCTTCTTCTCCTTATGCTTCTCCTTATGCTGGGAAGTAGCAGCATGTTTGGTATTGGGTCCTTGAAGGGTTTGGGTGGCTCCGGTGCCGGGTCCACTCCCGCAGATGGCGGAGAGGGCAGCTACGACGACCTGGAGCTGCTTCGCGGTCGCTCCCATACCGATTAGCGCCTAGACCGCGTTAGGAGCCGTGATAATCCCTCGAGTTCCATTACCGTTTCTTGGTCCATTCTCCTCTCCGGCGACGTGGCTGGTGGTGGGGATGTTTCTCTTTGTTTGCACCATTCTCATTCTCGGGAGTTAACCTACGAGTATGTTTTTCTCCTCTCAACGTGAGCACCAGTTTGATGGCTATAAATCACCAAAGAAAATCTAATTGTATAAAGTTTACGGGGAGAGAGAGTGCAAAGGGGGAGTATATACACTCAGAATTCGGATCCTTTACAATGAGGGATCTCTCCCTTTTTATAGGGTACACAATACAATTAGGCAAACACTCTGATCGATGTTCGTTGCTTAGTGGACGTCACTTGACCCTCATGGTCTTGTCCCTTTCATCCCATCGCTATCGCCCCGTCCCTATTGCGGAGCCGGTCGCTATCCTTCGATCCTGTCACGTTGTCCGAGCTTGCGTAACAAACTATAGTAAGCTTCAACTAATAATATATGGAGTGCAGAGAAAATAACACATGTGTGACACAAGATTAAGCCACAATAAAAATTGAAATACAAAAAAATGTGTTATATATTTTAAAACATTAAAAATATATGCATAAAAAATAAATGGAATATAGAAATTTAGAGTTTTTAAAAACTTATTGAAAATTGGGCACATGTCGGGTCAGTTCGAGTACAGATTGAGTCGGTCAAATATACTAACCCAAACCTAATCCGACATAAGTCAGGTTCTGTTTAAATTCTTTCGGGTTGGTTTCATATACTCCGGGGTATTTATTTTTTGATTCTGATTCACATATTTTAAGCTCTAGTCTAATCCGTAAATGTTATTCGGATAGAATTCTCATCCAACCAGTACCATAAATACGCAGCACTAGAGAATGAATAAAAAATCTTCCATCCGGCAAACTTGAACGGGTCATTTGTTTAGCAAACATGGGTCGCAGGGGCTTTTCCGGCGGTGGCAGAGGAGGAGGAGGAGGAGGTAAGGAATCGAGAGAAAAGTTTTCAGGAAAACAAATGATTTGCATTCCAACCCATCCCAGATTTACAACCCTAATTGATTTTACTATGCTAGAGTTTTCATAGCCATCGCCATTCGATTTTATACTCTTATTTTGTGTTATTCAATCCTCTTACTTTTCTCTTTAAACCGCAGGACGTCCTGCCTGCCGTTCAAAGGCATCTCGCGACGCAGAAGGTAAGCCAAAATTTCTTTTTTTTTTGCTGTTTATCTGAAATACAGAGTACTTGCTTTCTCCTTTGAAATTTATGTTAATTATTATACTCTGCATTATTATCTCCGTATTATTTTATTATTATACTGCTCTTTTAGGAAGATGTGAACTTACAACAATGAAATACAGTCAAAGGGGGCATGAAAGATGTTTGAATCTAGTGTTAAGAGGCTCTTAAGCCGAAATTCATACTGCTTACTCATATAGTGGAAACAAGTTAATTCCTTGCTAAAAGCAGTGGAAATCAATTTCAGGGGTTAACGAATTAGTGGTTATAAAAGCTTACATCACGGATCTAATCTCTGGTTTAATAAGTAAAATTTATTGAAATGCAACTCTAACAAGCATCTAAAAATTTATAATTAAAAGTTATGCACATATCATTTAAATTTGTGAACAGCCATAAATGTAGCATGCCTCTTACCGTGATTTTCATAATCATTGCATCCAAATTTGTGAACATCCAAATAAAAACTTCAAAACCAGAGTTCACCTTAACATTTTAAAACAGTACTTTAACTGTGAATGTGACCAATAATTAATCAAAAGCAGTAGTCTGTAGATGGATCTTGTGCTGAATAGTACACACAAATTAGTAAATACAGATTGAAATCTGCACAGAGTAGAATAGTGGTTTCTGAGCAGACTATTAGCTTGAATCGAAGAACTCTTGGAATGGATGGAAGAACACAAAGGAAGAAACAGACAGAACTTGTTTCTCTTCTTGGTTCATGTATTGGAATGAAAGTCTTTGTTTAATCGTTTTTGAGTACCTCTGTCCCATTGTTTTTGGGGCATGAGCATCTGACCCTCAGTTTGACAAAGAAAAAGTAAGAATGTGTATGAGTCACATAATTGTTTCTAAATATGGCGAGGAACAAAGATCGTGAGACGAAAAATGAATATAGTTGGATGAAGGGAGTAGTATTTTCTTTCTTTCTTAGCCTCCTTCATTATGTGTTCTTCATTCCCTGAATAGGTAATATTTTAATACAACGAGCTGCTGCTAGCTATGGATTCAGGTCTGCTTTGGATCGTATTTGGTATGGGCCTGACAATAGTCATGAAGACTTATGCAAATCACTTTTGAAGAACTTTGAAATGGTAAATAGTTCTTTAACCAGAGTAACATTTTTTTTTTGGGTATTTTACCTACAACGTGGATTACTTGACTTTTTTGGTATTTTAACTCCACAGAAAAGTTGGACATGTTTACTGTTTTGCTTACATTAATAATAATAGATATGCCCTTTGGCTTATTATTTATTCCCTCCGTTTATTGACTGACCCCTTTACACTTTATGATGTTTGACTGACCCCTCTACAAGAGGTGGCTTGGCTATGTTATTATGTTACAAATGGTTGATGAAAAATTGAAAATATTTGAGGAAGCTAAGGAAATAAGGTTTTGACTGATCTGCTAAAAATGAACAGGAACAGACTGGTAAAACAAAATGGAGTATGTGATTTCAAAGAAACTTTGGGTATATGTACTACCTCTATGTTTTAGGGAGTAATTTTTTTTCTGAAAAACTAGACAGTTCAGTAAAAAACATGTTTACAACAATAAAAACATTATCCTAGTGCCTTAGCGGTTGTTTCCCGGTGACCCATAATGAACGTTGCAAGTTGCATTGACTAATTGTTATTTCACTATTAAAAGAAGCACAAATAGTTCAATGAGCCATTTTGCTTTCTTTCATCATAACCCAAATGTAGGGATATCCTTCCACCGGACATGCATTAAGCCACAGTAATCAAATTCTTCCCCAAACCCCCGAAGGACACTCTCCGGGTGCGGAGTTGACCCCTGCTTCTCTAGCTGAAAGGCAAGATCGTTAATTCCCCTTTGGCCACCCAGGGAAGAGGGCGTGAGTACCAAGGCACCTAAGGAGATCCCATGAATCCCCTCGTTCCCTCATCTGCTACGCTCTTGAAAGCCATAGAAGCAAGTCATTCCCTATGGCCGATGACCCGGAATACTAACTACAACACCGAAATGATTCTTTGAAAAACTCAAAAGGCTAGCCGTGTTGTTTCTCTTGCAGAAGAAAGCTAGGCCCCTATGCAAATTTAAAACAACCCCTCATAGTTGATCTTTACCCTCAACCGTGCTGCATGTCCTCTGCCCACTTCAGTTTCCATTAAAGAAAACTAAAAAATAAAATCTGGCTACTTACTAGACACAAGGTCAACAATTTCACAAACTGTGCGTGGATTGCCTAAGCCACAACAGTTCCAGCTTAAAGTACTCATTGGGACAGGCAGGTCTGGGAACCAAGTTTTTTGAAAGGTCAGTCGTTGCCACATGCCCATATCATTACCAATCGCAGTGTCCTCACTCTCCCTACGACTTTTAGCCATAGCAATCATTCTGAGCTCACAAACAATGCCCCTTGCCGAATCTCCTTCGTTCCTCCGACATTCGTGGAGCACCCCCGTGGAGGCAACATCCAACACTGTCCAACTGCCCTAGGACCACGGTTCAGACTTTCCTGAAACTTCAGACCTTTCACCTTCGCCCTCGTGAACTTCCACCCCAACTGGCATGAGCCCAACTTCATCCTCAATCTTGATCTCACCATAGCAGGATTCCAATTTTTCAATCGCTACACCAGAGGCTCTTGAACCCATTAAAGTTAAGAGACTGGCCTGAAATTCCCACCATTCACGGTCACCGACCTCACCAACCGAAACCAAATTCAGAAGAGCTGGAACAGGTAAAGAAACCTCAAACGGTATTAGGGAGAGAATTGCATAGAAATTTATGTATATTTTGTTTGCAGTAATGCTGTAACGCCTTAGTACTATCATCAGATGGTACTAAAAAGTCTAAATTTGAGTAATTTGCATTAATTGAGTTTGATGGACACTGTTCATCTGGTGAATTTCGATTATTAAGCAAATTGTCCCTTGTAGATTGGTTCTTTTAATTTAATTTGATTTCTTTTCTTCGGTTACTGGCTTACTGCTCCTTGTGAAGAAGCAAAGTGAAATGTGCCATAGCTATTATGCTAAGGATCTCTTTTTTTTTGGGTATAATTGCAGTGTGTATCCATTCTAGGAGACAGAGATAGTAGATTGTGCCAGGACGAGAAGAGAGAGCTGGAAGAGCATTGTGGTATGGGATTTAAATTTTGTGTTGCAATTTACTCCATTTTCTATTTTGCTTGATTTGATATACATATGGTAAGTAAGGTTGCTACTTGCTAGGAGTGGTTGCTCTTGTATTTGAAAATGCATGCAATTAAAAGTCATTAAATCTGAGGGGAAAAAATCGTTTCCTCTAATATAATTAGTTGTTTTGTTGATGAGATGCATTCTTTCGTACGTCCCCCTTTTGTTGCTACCATTTTGGCGATGAAAAGGTATATGCTTATTTGTTTCCAGTGTTAATTTTGGTTGTGCGTTTTTCTGACAGATGAGTTTAGGTCTTCTTGGAATGATTGGTGGGCAAAAGAGAAGAAAAGAAGGTGTGATCTATTCTTATTAGACTTTGAACGGGTAAGGTTTTTCTCACTTAATTTAGATGAATTATACATGTCACACCATTCAGGAAAGCTGGAAACCCATATTCTTTTCTTTAAGCAAATGCTCAANCACAGTATTAGAAGTTAAGAATTATGAATTTGATATTGAAGCTAATAACTAAGAAAAATAAGAAAGAGTATGAGTCACATAAATGTTTCTTAATATAGTGAAGTGCAAAGATAGTAAGATGAAAAGATTTAGGCAAGTATTGGTGAAAAATGAAAGTAGTCGCATGAAGGGAGTAGTATTTAATTTCTTACTTTTCCAGTTAGCTTTTCAGCTTTACAAAACGAGGAAGAAGCACAAAGTATTAGTGTTTGTCTTATTTGATAAATTCTAACTAAACTTGAAATTGTACCTCCTAAAGTCAGGGGGGAAGAATTGATGGACATAATGTTCTTTCTCATACATTGCTTCCACTATCTTTTGGAGAAGAACAAGGCAGGTGTTCTTTGTCATTCACTCTTTGTTCTTTCATTCCTTAAATAGGTAATATTTTAATACAGCGAGCTGCTGCTAGCAATGGATTCAGGTCTACTTGGGAACGTATTTGGTATGGGCCTGACAATAGTCATGAAGACTTGTGCAAATCCCTTGTGAATAAATATGAATTGGTAAATATTTCTTATTTTGGTGTTTTATGTACTACTAATGTTATTTGACTTAATCTAGGATGCAACTTAACTCCACGGAAAAGTTCGTTTCATTTCTTGATATGCTTAGAGATGTTTACTTTTTTGCATACATATATAACAACAACAATTATTATTATTATTATGATGATGATGATCATAATAATAATAATAATAATAATAATAATAGTAATAGTAATAAGTGTTTATCATATATTCCCTCCGGTTTGTTTGACTGGCCCCTTTACAGTTTATGATGTTTGTCTAATGCATTTCATTGTAACTTATTAAAATATTGGTGCTAAATATAGAATTAAAACCTTTATGTTTAAAGATAAACAAAATTTCCTGAAAACAATAGGTGGCTTGGCTATGTTATTATGTTACAAATGGTTGATGAAAATATGTGAGGATGCTTAGGAGTTAGGATAGAAGATTTTGACTGATCTGCTAAAAATGAACAGGACCAGACTAGTAAAACAAAATGGAGTCTGATTTCTATAAAACTTTGGGTATATGTACTACCTCTAAGCTTTAGGGAGTAATTCCTTTTCTGAAAAACTATAAAGTATCTAATAAAAAGAAAAGAAAAGAAAGAAAAACTAGACAGTACAGTAAAGTAGAAAACATGTTTACAACAATAACATTTTCCTAGTGTCTCAAAGGCTCCCGTTCATTGTGGGGTAGGGGGTTATATACCTTGGGTTCCCTGAGGCCATGTAATGAATGTGGGGTCAGATGTAAGCTACATGACCCGTATGTTTAAAACATAGAGCGGTTGTTTCCCTGTGTCCCATAGAAACCGTAGAAAAGCTGGGAGAGAGGTAAAGAAACCCTTAACTGTAATACGGAGAGTAAACATTTGGGTATATTTTGTTTGCATAGAAATTTGTTTAAATTTTGTTTGCTTTACATGGATTGAGTTTAATGGGCATTGTTCATCTGGTGAATTTCTATTATTAAGCAAATTGTCCTTTGTAGATTGGTGCTTTTATTTTATTTTAATTTATTGTCTTGGGTTACTGCTCCTTGTGAGGTAGCATCGTGAAATATGCAATAGCTTTTATGCTAAGGATCTTGTTTCATTGGTATAATTGCAGTGTGTAGCTCTTGGCGGAGGAGACAGAAATGATAGATTGTGCCTGGACAATAAGAGAGCGATGGAAGAGCATTGTGGTATGGGATTTAAATGTTTTCTGTTGCAATTTACTCAATTTTCTGTTTTTGCTTGATTTGATATACATATGGAGATTAAGGTCGTTTGGAGTTGCTTTTGTATGTGAAAATGCATTTTATTTACAGTCATTAAATCTAAGGGGAAAAAATCTGTTACCTTTGATATAATAAGATGTTTTTTTTGTATGCCCCCCTTTTTGTTGCTACCATTTTGGCGATGAAAAGGTATATGCTTATTTGTTTCCAGTGTTAATTTTGGTTGTGCGTTTTTCTGACAGATGAGTTTAGGTCTTCTTGGAATGATTGGTGGGCAAAAGAGAAGAAAAGAAGGTGTGATCTATTCTTATTAGACTTTGAACGGGTAAGGTTTTTCTCACTTAATTTAGATGAATTATACATGTCACACCATTCAGGAAAGCTGGAAACCCATATTCTTTTCTTTAAGCAAATGCTCAATACAAACTAGCTGATGCTCTCCAGATTTGCCTTGTGATCTCCACTTTCTTTTGTAAAAATTTGCAGTGTTTTAAGAGTCACAGCAAGGAGTCAGAGAAACGCCAATTTTATGCTGGG